AGGCACCTTCTAAGTGTTCTGGGCTCTTTCCCAGGCAGCAGGAATACAGGAGCAGGCAGGGTCATTGCCTTCCAGAAGAAAGACAAAAAATGCTTGTATAGAGCTTTACCTGACAACTTTCAGGCTAGGTGTGATTGCATTAGGCTAAAGAAAGTGGGCAATTGAGTGCAGAGATGCTTGGGAGTGGCTGCTGTAGGGAGATTGGCAGGAAAGTACCTCCAGGCTACAGACATATTAGCAGAAATTGGAATAATAATTTAAGAAATTTGGAAGGAGAACACGCTAGGAAGAGGGAATAACTATGAACCCTGGAGATCACTGATCTCTTCTCTCCCACCCCACCTCTGTACTAAGGATTAAATCCAGGACCTACATCCCCAGATCTTTTGAATTTTTACTTTTAGAAAGGGTCTCTCTAGGTTGCTTAGGACCTTGCTAAATTGCTGAGGCTGACCTTGAACTTGCAAGTCTCCTGCCTCAGACTCCTGAGCCACTGGGATTTGAGGCATGCCCCACCATGCCTGGGTAGGATCTCGTTAACCTCTTGAAGTGCCCCCCCAGCAATGAAACTCCATAACTTCCATACGTGGCATCTCAACAGAGTGTCCATGTTTCTCCCAGGATAGCCAGTGATGTCCCAGGAAATCCACTCTAGGGGTTTTATTAGCAGCTTTTCTCCTAAATGCTTTGTCTTTAACTAAGGGTGCATGCATTTTTAATGGCAGTGTCTTGGTCTCTATTTCCAATATTCCTTATCTGGAATTTCCTCATCCTTCTCCCTCATTCAGTTAACCTGGCCAGCTGACCATACATAGGACAACATGAAAACCCTCCCAATCAGAACTTCCATATCCTTGGATTTTTCCTCTTAATAACTAGAGCTCACCAAGGAGGTGGGTGAGATTTAGGAAGTATATTGCCCTGTTAATGTGCTCAGGCCTGAGGAGGAAAGGTGCCTGAATTTGGACTGTGGTGTCCATCATTTCAGACTCCGCTGCTGACTGAGGAGTCCTTCCTGCTTGTCCATCACTGTTCTGT